ATTTTAACTTAACTTAGTTACATTTTAGACTCTTAACATTTTAACTTTATTTAGTTACATTTTATCGATAACTATTAACTTTTTATTTAAATTTTTTGAAGTTAAGTCTCAGACTCAAACATATACTTCATTTAGAACACACTCTATATTTTACTTAAAAGTTTTGTGTTTGTATATATTATTAGGTGATAAACTTAAATCCTATCGTTTTTTCGTCTCGAAAATCGATTTGTTTCGAAGGGAAGATGAATAAATACCTTAATCAAAGTAATTTCCTCCATTTTTTACTACTTTTTCCCATCTCTTCGACAACAGGGCAATTCCACGACGGTAGAACGCGATGTCTTTCGAGGCGATCCATTCATCTACCCATTTTTGGACTTCGTTGTAAAGCCTGCGACACACGATGCCTGTCTTCCTGCTAGATTGCTAGCTGGATTAGAATCTTGCCACCGTATTGGCTGTGGTGCCGTCAGTGCCAGCATCGTATCCAATACGGTGGCAAGAAATACATATGTGTGTATATATATATATACACACGCATACATAAAAGTTTTCATTTTTCACGTTTTCACTCTAGCGAAAAAGTTAAGCATGTCATGATTGATGTTCAGTGTTATGCGTTTCATGTGCGATAGGTTTTATATATTTGTTTGATTCGAATATGTCGTGGCGAGCGTAGTGGAAGGTGGAAGCATGTTGGGTACTTCCATCTTTCACGCATCGTGCGATGCGACAAATCTATAGCCAATTCGATTACTATAGTTTCTGTTTCTACATTCTATGATTCTATATTTGTCCGTTGACTCCTGGCTGCATAAACGTCACAAAAAGAAATTTAATGTAAGTACGTGAATAGATTTATATTTGCTGTTCAAAAAAGGGAATTTCAAGGCTAAAGTGGGAAATTTTTACACCGCTAGAAGGAAAAACCGTTTGTCCGATATATCATCACTGCTTCGGCGTTGAAGCGCATGATTGGCCTGGGTCCACCCATGATTTTTTCCGCTTAGGATTATCAAAATAAATCCATTTTTCATCGCCAGTCACGATGCGCCACAAAAAACTTTTTTCTTTGCCTGGCAAGCAAAGAAGTCACAATAGTCAAACGATTCAAAATGGCATTTTCTAACAACTCATGTGGTAGCCATTTCCCTTCCTTACGAATCTTTCCCATGGCATGCAAGCGTTTTGAGACGGACATTGAAGTAACATTTAACTGTTCCGACAACTCTAAAAGCGTTTGGGCTGGATTATC